ATGTTTGTCTATATGTGGCAAATTTGTCGTATGTATCATTTGCTATCAATGGCTGAGAAAATGGTGGAAGATTCAATGGTTTAGATTTGCTTCACCTAGACAAATTTCCGCCCATGCTCCTTCTCTCACTATCCCACTCTCTAATTCTCTCACCTCTTGCACCAGACCTCCTCTCTTATGTTTCTTCCTTCCTCTAGATCTACTTTGCCTCCCTCTTAACCTCTCTTCCACCGCAACTCACCTACATCCTTCCAACTCCAACAGCTGCAAGCCTTCTCTCCCATTTCTACACCGCACCACCCATGCCCATCGTCGTAATTTTTCCTCCAGCTGATTCTAGGCACACCACCCATCTTCGATCGCCATAAGGGCTTCGTTCTCACTCTTCAAGTTAGATTTTGAGAAGTTTAGTTTAGACAACAATGATGACATAGACTTTTTTGTCTGTTTTTTTATTCATAAAATGGAAGAAAGAAAGGAGACAAAAGTGTGAAAGCCAGAGGCAATGCAGAGTGAGGCATGACTTGTGAAGAGCATTTGGAGAGGAATTTGAATGTAATGTCCTTTTTACTTACTATAAAGAAGATAAGTAAATCTTTTTGTAAAATAGTGATAAGCATGAGATCATTCAAATTATTTTAGTACCAAAAATGGTTAAGATCTATCTCACCGAAGTCAATATATCTTGTGTAGCTCGATTGCCATTGTTCACTCCAGCAAGCTCGGTTCACTCTGATTGTCAAGTATTGAAAGGTTTCATCATTTTACCTTATTTTGATTTTTTATTTAGGTATGTGTTGGGTTTGTATTCAAGAAACTGATGGGTTTGATTTGTGTTTGTGTTTCTAAGATTTGTTTTTCTAAAGAGTTATGCTAGGGTCACAAATAATTACCAAATTTTCTAGCAAACGTCTCACATGGGTGTCGAACCCATCACATGTGATTTGTGTGGGTTCCACACCCATGTGAGTGATTTGGTAAAAATTTGGTAATTTTTTTAGGGTCCATAGCATTTTTCCTTTTCTGAACCTTAAATTGATATGTGTTTCTAAGAATTTTTGTTTGCTTCTATTTCTAACCTATAATTGAATTGGTGTTTCTGGGTTTTTCATTATTATTATTATTATTTTGTGTTCTGCGTTTGTGTTCTGTTTTGTTTTGGTTCTAGGTTTGCGTTACTAAGATTTTTATATGCAGTTTTTAACTAATCCTTCTATTATTTTTCTTTGTTTCTATGACTTCAATTCCTGGTTTTCTCCTTGTGATATCACTGTTTGTAGACTTTGTTAGTTGTTCATATCTTTTTATTGCCCTAACATTTTATTCATAAGTCATAGAGTTTTGTGTAGTTTTATTTATAGATTTATTTATTTTTGTCGTTGTTGAAATCTATATAAATTAAGATGAATCTTCCTTTCAAATTCTACAAACCCTTCAACCCTTCAGTCCTTCATCTGTGTGGACACACTGCCTTTTATTGTTATTATATATATATTATATATATTGTTGTGCAGGAATTAGTTTAGGTATGAAAGATCTTTTTCTCCTAAAATCATGCCAATTTTTGTTAAGTTGGAGTGTTGTAGAGAAATTATCAATTCATGTATGGCTTATGCTTTTATTGTTAATGCTTTGTACATGTGACGGACGCATTGAAATTTGGTGAGAGAAATAGTTTTAAAGGCTCCATCAATAGAGATAATCGAGATTCCATCCCTTTTTTTTGCTAATATTTTCAGTTTTTGTACCTTCATGTTGTAAGTTGATGATTTGATCTTTTACTTGATCATAGTTCAAAGACCAACTTCTTCATGTCACTTGGAATAAATTACAACCTATTTCTTGTTATTTTATTAAATTTATTGTTATTCATTCCATCCTAGGATTTGGGTATATTTTGAAATAATTGATGTTCAAATAATTGATTTTTACCACTATATAATTTCTACTATTACAATGTTCACCAAATGCTGTGATAAATTTTTTGATCGAAAAAACCATTTTCATATGTTCACTAAATGCTTCATAAATATTTCTCTATTTGATTTGTTTGATGTGTTTATTAATTCACAAGGAATGGAAGGTGAAGGGAGATTAATCAATGATCAAACTTTTGGCAGAGGAAAAAGTTCCCCTTTGCTAAACTTTTGATTGGGGTTAGGAAAAAGTGCCCCTTTGCTTGACTGGGTTGAGTTTATGAATTTATCTATTTTTTGGATGATGTTTCTCTTTGCTAATTATTTTTATTATATCATTGTTTTTGGGAAAGACCAAAAAATTTTGCAATTTTTTGTTTTTTGTTTGCATTACTTCTAAATAGTTTGAATGCTCTCAATTGGATCTTAGTTGGAGTTTATGAAATCTTTTCTTTTTGATTGTGGTTTGAAGATTTTTGAAATGGAACACTCCCTGCATTGTGGTGCCAAAGATATCCATAAGGTTATAAAAAAAAAAAGTCTTTTTCTTGGTTAAGTAAATCTCTTTTTTTACTTATATATGAATGTGTTTCTATTAAACATTTTTTTTATATATAATAGTTTCTTGGGTGGTGGCCACATGTGTCTGGTGCATAAAATATTTGCTATATAGATTAAAAAACAAAGAGGTGTGTGGTTGTGGGATGAGGGGGAGTAGAGAAGAGGGGATTTGCTACATGGATTAAAAAAACATAGAGAGTGTGTGGGTGTGGGATGAGGGGGAGTAGAAGTAGGAGGCAAAAAGTGCATATAATGAATAAAATGGTGTGAGATTAAATTGCTTCTTGAAATGTTATCTACCGAAGTGTTGAATTCCATGTCTCTAAAAGACTAACTGCTCAATGTTAGAAATTAAATATATTTTTGATCATTAGTGCTTGATGACGGAAGGAAGTTGTGACACCCCGAAATAAATACCGTAATCCATCCACAATGTTAATATACGACATAATAAAAATAATTATCTTCCATTAAATCTAATTAAGATTGCAAAAAGGAAAACATATGCGATATACATTCATAATGCCTAACCCTAATCTATAGCATATATTTCAAATAAAAGAAAAGATGGAAGTTAATATATATTCCTAACTTTTCATCTAGAGCCATACACACTCCTATGTTAAACTCCATTTAGGATATCTAAACCCAACTCCAAAACTTGTGGTAGGTGTGACCAAACACCCCATTTCAACACAAAAAAAAATATAAGTGCAGAATTTTTTTTTCTTCATTGTCTTCATTCTTCATTCTCTAACTTCTCTCTACTTTCTCTCTCTCATTTTCTTTACTTTCTTGGAGGCCAAACACCAACACATTTGCACCCCCTTACACCACCACTTTAACCCACCATCTCCACCACCTCCAGCCACCTTATCTCGCCGGAAAAAGGGTCCGGTCGGCTACTCCTTAAATCCATCCGAAATAAACACAATCGAAGCACCAACTCTAGATTTTTCTTAATCTTTTGAAGAATCAAAGCATGGGGTTTATTTTCTTGATGGATTAGAGGCTTGTAATTGGTAGAATCTTTTTCTAAAAGTTTAGTTTAAGGTTTTACATATTTTGAGTTAGAGATGATGAAATTTTTGTGTTTAGATCTATTATGATTTGGGGTTTGATTGTTGATTTTTTAACTCTCAATTAGTTTCCATGAATGTTTTAGATGTTAAAAAAAAAAAAAAAATTGGTCAATTTGATGGTTGATTTGGAGATTAAGATTTTGGGTTAATCTAGGGTTTGAATGTGATGTAAAATTGGGGATTTTGGTGTTAGGGAATTAATATGTTGAAATTGATTTGATAAATGGTGGATTGGGTATCTCTATGTTCTATGGAGGAATTTTATAAGTGATTGAAGAGATTTTACTTAAGTTGTTAAGTTTATACAAATGTTGATTTTTGACTTTTGTAGTAAATTGATGGTGGTATTGTGCATATAATTGATTGGATATTAAAAAGTTACTAACTCAAAGAGGTTCAAAGGAGGGTGTTATGGAGATTGGATAAGTTATTTGTTTGGGTGACTTAAAGTTGGAGGAGTTCTTTAGCTTGCCATTCCTTAGCATAATTTTATTTAGGATCATTTTTTAGATGTTGTAATTTTTTATTGAAAGTTTTTCCTAATTTGAGATCCTATTTACTAATTGTTAGGATTGGAGGAAGGCAATCTCTCACAACCTTTTGGAAATTAATTTGTAGAGTTTCAAATCTACACTTTTGCTATTTTTGGAGGTGAGTTATTTAGCATGGAATTACCTTACCTCTATCTTTATTACAAAGTTTGAAAATAATTTTTGAATTAAGGAAGTGAATGATACATATTCATCATGATATATGTATAAAAAGAAAAATCTATAATTTATTGAGGCCAAGGAGTTTTTTAATAAAGATATGATTTCATTTGTATAATGAAGCATTATTTTTTTTTTATGAGTTTTTTAAGTTGGTTTTTCAAATTTTATGATGAGATGTTGATGCATCAGTGAATGTTATGTGGGGTATTTATTTTATTGACCATATAAACGAATATAGCCTTTGGGGCCACAAGGGCCAAAATGCTTTGGGGTCCTGGGGACCGAAATGTTTTAAGGACCATAAGGGTCGTTGTATGTATAAGGGGTCCTGGGGACCGAAACATTGAAACAAGAATTGAAGTGCTACGATGACATGAGCTATGTTCCTATGGTTATGTTTTGGGTAACGGTACCGTCACCACCTAAGTCGCGAGGTAACGCGACCCTAAGGCTATTGTAGTGGATTGTATGATGGACAGGAAATCTTAATGTATTGAAAAGTTATATTTTTGTTACTTTCATTATCCAAATGTATTTTTTTCTGCCTTATGAGATTCCTTGAAAAATCTTGATAACGTTTTTAGAAAATTGTATTTCATTTTTTATTTTTATTTTGTATAATTTAAGTCCAATTAGCTCTTATGTTTAGTATCTTTATTTTGAACCCTATTGGTAGGAGCAATTTTATAACTCCATGGTATTGGTATACTCATTGGGCTTTAGCTCATTCTTTTAAATAATTTTTTTTAGATTCATAGACTTTTTTGTGGCTCGCCTAACTTGAAAGACCTAATTTTTTGAAGGATACAGGTGGGCATCTTGTGGTTGAGTTTTGCTTAGGGTCATTCTAGGATGCAAGTTACCCTTTTTTTTATGAAGGAGGGTTGATTGTAATATTGCTTATGAAGTTGGATGTATTGATGGATTCGTGTTAGTATGTATTATAGTTTTTTTTGGAGGGAATGCTTGGAACTATCTTGTAGCATGATAATACTTTTTTGTCTTTGAATAGTCATCTCATATATGTCAGGCATATTGAAAGGTCTTATGCACTTTGTGATGTGGTGATGTGATGTATGATTATACAGGAATTGTGGTGTAAAGGTGCTATAGCGTTTGAGGTGCACCCTCTTGGCAGGGTTTTGCCTGCCAAGATTTGGGTCGTTACAATAAACAGATAAGAAATGCCCTAAAGACTTACAACTTTCCAAGATAGTTCTTGGTTACAACAAATGGACTTTTAGGTCCAATACATTTAAAGCCCTTAGCTATACAAAAATGACTACAACAAAAAGAAGCACTTGCTCCAAATCCTCCCAAGCTACTGCTTGGCGGAGGCATATCATCAGCACCTGCAATGTTTTTCCACATAGGGTGAGCAAAGCCCAGTAGAAATAATCCAGCACAGTTTTGAACCCTTAACAAAGCTATAAGGTGAATGTATATGCAATGCTCGTGTCAAACATTTTTATATCTCTTTCCAAAACATGCAATGCCAATTTAATATCATGGTTCATAGATCATTTCTTTTACAATAGAGGAATGGCAGTGAATCACACTTTGGAAATTTCAAACAATACAACCTTTCGGAAATTTCGTCCAGAGAAACCGTAAACCAGGCCCATGTAACGTAGGCTATTACAAGCACTGACTATTTTTTATTTCATAGAAATTTCGTCTGCGGATCGGCACCCTCATATATCGCCGCAGTTTTCAGGACTTTCACCTGGACACTCAGGCCAACTTATTCTACATTTAAATTCATGTTTCCCAGATTCACCATTTTTTCTCAAAACAATAAACATTTCAATGCTAAGTGTGAAATAATGCTCGATGCAAATGAATAGAAAATAGTTTCAATTCTCCTAATTCCACATGTAATTTCTACAACAATCATGGCTCTCCTCCATCAATAGCCTAAAATAGATATTTCTAAACAGATAGTTCATATTCCATTAATGATAACTTTCCAATCTCACGAGGTGAGTGATATACATATCCAATTCACCATCCTTATCAATACCAAGCCAATTTCATAATTTCAACATCAATTTAATTATTGTTTACAAAACCCACATTTGAGATAATTAGGCTAATTTTTACTCCTTTCAAAATCAATTCCAATATCAAAATCAACCATTTCCAACCCACTCAACATTATTTCCAGCATAAAAATCATTTCCAAGAATCTATTTGAAAAACCCTTTTTTGATTAAGTTATTCCAAATCGTTCCAAAACTCTCAATGTTATTTAGAAATAACAAATAACTAAGTTAAAACGCATAAAAAAGTGTGGAAGTATCCCACCTCAGCTAGAACGAGAGAGAGAGAGAGTGAGGGAAATCCAAAGACGCCAAAAATCAACTTTACTACGGTTAGAACAACACCCACGTCGAGCTTACCTTTTTAATGAAGGCACACGGGTGAAAAGACCGACAGATCTATGTGTATTTGAGGGAAATAAGTGAGTTTTAGTGAGAAAGTGAGAAAATAGGGTTTTGAATGTTTAGAGAGAAAAGAGGTGAAAAAGTAACTTAGAAAAGTGATTTTACAAACTAATATACGTATAGTCGCTCGAGCGCAAGACTTGTCGTTCAAGCGACGAACATTATAAGTTTGTCCGCTCGAGTGTAGAATACACACTCTCAGAAAGTTTTGCAGACCAAAGGTTGTCGATCGAGCGCAGGAAACTTCACTTGAGCAAGAAATACAACTCACAGTATTTTGTAGACCTACAAAAGTACTGGAGTTCACAAAGACCGCTCGAGCGAAAGGGGCAAAAAATCTGGGCACAAAGTTTGAAAAACAAGCTACCAACTTCTTCCAAACACTACCAACATGACCCAAAAGCCAAACTCAAGTGGTATAAGTAGAAACATGACATGAATACTATAAACGACAACGAAACTCAGATTCAACACATATAAGGGTCGGGTCTGACCAGAAATGCTTAACCTCCCCCCTTAAGGAGTTTCATCCCAAAATTTAAATCAAATGTTAAAACCACATTTTGACCAATTACAACATTGATAATATTTCAAATCATCACCATGACCCATCCATCGGTCATCCATTCTCATCAAAGATAAATTCTACTCATTACTGAATATACAATTTAAATTTTCAAAACATATACAATTTTTATATTACATTAACATAATGTAGTTTCAATACATGTTAAACATCACTAAATAAGGTCAAAATATTTCTCACGGACTTTCGCCTGACACTCCCAAGTGGCCTCCTCAGCCCATGGTGTTGCCACAACACTTTTATCAAAGGAATTGTCTTGCCTCGCAAGACTTGGTCTCCAAATATCTAGAACTCTAATGGGGTCTCTCTTCATAACAGGCCATCCTTGTCAACCTCTAACTCAGTCCAATCCAATACATGTGAAGGAGATCCAGCTCATATTTCCGAAGTATACATATATGAATACGTCATGAACCTCGAAAGCTGTGGCGCAAGGCCAAGTGATAAGCACCTCTCTAATCCGCTTTAGATCTTCAAAAGGCCCGATAAATCTAGGAAGATAACTTCCCACTCTTCCAAACCTCATCAAACCCGTCTAGGTGAATATTTTCAAGAAGACGTGATCCTTTACCTCAAAGGATAATGGTCTCCTCCTACGATCGGCATAGCTCTTTGACAACTTTAAGCCGTAAACCAACCTCTTATGGATGAGTGTAATTTTCTCTGTCGTTTCTCTGACTAACTCGACCCCATGGTGCATTCACCACCTCGGCCCACACCATAGGTAGATCTCACGGTGCCACCTACAAGGCCTCAAGGTTGCCATACCATAACTCGATAGACTATTGTATAGGCAACTTACAAGAGAAAGTGCTCTCGAAAATCATTCTAGACCATGCAAAAATATATATTATATATATAGTAAACTCACGAAAATCCCTACCTTAAGTGTAGAGAAACCCAAGCACAAGGTGGAACTTCAAAGATGACGAAAACCATTTCTTCTGGATCAAAATTGAAACACTTGCGACCCTATACCCTCTTCCTTAAAGAACCCTAGGTGAAAGATCCTTAGAGTCAGGTGTATTTTTTAGAGGAGAAGTCGAACCCTAGAGAAGAAGGAGCTAATTTAGGGTTTTTGAGGAAAGGGATCAAAAATGAGAGCAAACGGCGCTACTTGTGAATTGAGTATGACAGGCTCGGCTCGAGTGAAGGATTTCGCTTGAGCGACCAGGCACACAACAGGCGTCTCGC